GAGGAAAATTTTATTTAATACTATTTTTTTTAATCTTCCTTTTTCCAATAAAATATTCGTAAAAAGACTTTAATTCATTCAAATCTTGGGTCTATATTATTTTATACATCCCAACGTTGCGACATGCTTACGCTATAATATCCAGGATTAAGGGTACGAGGAAATCGGCATTGCATCATTGTGGCACTTTTGCTCTTTATGTTTCCCAAGTAAACAAGATGAATTCACGCGATAAAGTGAAGAAAAAAGCATCGCAAGCAAAGCGAGCCAATTAAAATTGCGGGTCGTCGTATAGTATCAAGTTTTTCATCACCAGTGTGTAAGTGAAATATATAAATATTTATTTGACGTAATTAAATTTTGTTACAGAAATGCACACACGAATAAAGCAACCACCCATTGTACATCTCACGCGAAATATATATTTTTGTAAAATTGAGCGGTATCAATTAACTGTCAGCTATTATTCACACTTAATCTTGAGTTAGAGTTATTAGAATTCAATTTTTTTTCCTGCGTTTTCTTGCGCGTAAAATATTTTTACGATGTCCAATGCCGCTGGCCCGCTAGTAAAAAATCAATATCTCTTACAAAACGACCAGCCATGAAATGAGTGATACAATTTGTAGTTCGACAGTTTTATAATTCGTTAGTAACCATCTGTAACCGCGCACAAAGAGGCAAGGAATTCGTTTCGCTCGCACGACAAACGCGTTTCTCCATTTTGAAACTTTTAAAACAACACCGAACACGAAGTTGAAGTATGTGCAGGAAATATTCCACAAACTTCTCTAAAGCGTTAAGCTGAAATACCGTCGAAATATAAATAAATAAATATGATGGCAAAATTACCTTCATTTTATTAAATATCCAAAATGTATGTTTCGTCTAAAATAAAAAAAAATTATTATAAGGATAACATAAAAATTTCAATGTGCTCTTTTGAAAAAAAAAAAAAGATATTTATACAAGTTTATTGACGAATTATATCATGTTTGGAATAAACATCACAGAATTTCAATTTCCAATAATATCATTTGAAAAATTTATGAATTTATGAGCTTTTATATATGCATAAACTTTGGTGTTCATATTCAACTTTATTCATTCATTCCATCCGCTTTATAATGCTAGTTGATCACGAAAAGTTTACGATTACGATTTATAGTTCTTCCTCCGCAGAATTCTTTTCATTTTCTCGACGGTTATTAAAAAATACCCGGCTATGATTAAAGAGATAAATATTAAGAATAGGAAGACAGACTCGTTGTTTCCCATGCATTTATAAAATACTTCCGACCGGATTATAATTTCAAATAAATCTTACAAGACGGAGAAGGACTTAGAAGGAACACCTCATTTTATTTTAAAAGAAGAAATCGCTACTTTATATTAAGGATCTTTTCGTGCCTCCACAGGAAGAAAGAACGCGGCCGCGACATAATATCGCATTCGAATACAATAGACGACTTATTAGCATTTTGTACCTTCCCCTGTCACATTTGACCCTTTCGAGCAAACGACTTCCACATATGCAGATACACGAGACTTCAGAAAGTGTCGTTTCTCGTATCCTTCCGAAACTTTTCGCACCTGGTTTGAATCGTTCTCTCCCCCCTTCCTTCCTCCGCGATCGAGAGCGAGAAGCTGAGTTGACATACGAACATCTTGAAAGAGCTGAATTTAGAATCAAAAGTTTCTATATAAGATTCTATTCCAATACCACTGCGCATTCCTTTTAACCGTAAGTCTTTTAGCCGGTATAGATTAAATTTATCTTTTGTGGTAAAAATTTTGCGGTACATTGTTGTGCCGTCATTGTGTTGCGCTTACGCGCACAACAACTTTCCTCGATCTTTTTGAATTATATATATTTCTATGTAACCGAATCTTAAAGGAAATTTCTTAAAGCAAAGTTTACTTAAAGTCAACTGAAGAAGTCAAATATCAGACGCGGAGTTTGAAATACGCTCCGCTGTTATTTTTCTACGGAACATCTCTTAATAGTTATGCGTCTTTGCGCTCAATCTTCTCTTCAATTAACTCTCCCGTAATTAAGCTCTACTAGGGATTTTAATCAGAACGCAAATTAATCGAATAAGCGGAAAGTAACAGAAACAGCCGTAGGTGAGATTCATTCCGCGCAGACTCATAGATGCGACTTTAACAAAAACAAAAAAAAAAAAATAAATTCCGGTTTGGAAGATAACTGGAAAAAAGAAAAGCGGCGGAGAGCCAGCTTTTCTGGCCAGCTCTTTCTGGATCGTCAAGAGCATACGGAAAAAAGACTACAACCTTGAAGCTGGTGTGCATGTACGAGTAAGAAAGGAAAATCTTTTCGCTTCTCCTTTTTTTTCGTTCAAGAGAGAAATGCATGTCTGCGACGTTACGTGCCTAAATGAATCCGAGAAGAGAAAGCCATGGGTCTGCGACACCCTTCTCTTTTTTTTTCACCGATGACGGAAGAGAACCGCTTGAAAAAGCGTCCTAAAACCGGTCCAGGTAGAGGAATGTATGTACGCGCTTTCGTAAATCGGCAAAAGGTGAACACCTGGCCGTCTACTACGTCGCTGTCCACCACGCTGAGATTTAATGGAATTGAAAATTAAGTTCTTACCATTGTTGCGAACGACGTCGTTAGCCGTTTTCGACGTGTTACCGAGGCAGCCACTTTCATGAGTTTTTCGGTTAACTCCGTAATTTCCGCCCGCGAAATGATCGTTATCCTCTTTCCGCCGTTACACTTTAATCCGATATCGTTTTTCGACCCTCGCTAAAGCAAAAGCTATTGCTAGCCGTCAAGAATTAATAAGAGTTCAATTAAAGTAATCTTGACACTGAGATATTTTTCGATGACGAAATATTTTCAACAAAATTCTTAATCAGTTAAAAATCGTTATAAAAATATTTATTTAATAGATTTAATTAAAAATAACAGTATATAAATCGAAAAAAATATCTCTATAATACGGATTGAAAAACCTTGCCAAAGTTTTATGTCAGATATTATAATTTTGTCTTGCGTCGATTTTTGCTATGTAACATGCAGATGAAAATTTAATGACATTTCAACACGGATTGCTAGATTTGGCGCTATCAAACGCGCTATTAGAGACAAGGATCGAAATAACCGCGCCAATATTCCATGCAAATTGTCGGGTTTTGCGACGACGTAAGATTCACCGTTCCCAATTTGTACCCCGCGGAACCAACAGATCGACAAAGGACCATCAAGAGCTCTAGGACTCTCTTCCAGATAAATCGATTCCTCCCACTTTCTATCCGTTCAGTAGTGGCTCGTTTCCAACTTACCGGAGGTCGTCCTCGTCGTCGTCGTCGTCGTCGTCGTCGTCGTCGTCGTCGTCGTCGTCGTCGTCATCGTCGTCGTCGTCGTCGTCGGTTGCCTTTTCTCTCGCTCTTGCACCGAGACAAATTAAAGCCCCCGACTATTCTTCTTTTGCCCAGCTACGTGCGACAACAACGTGCATCACGCCAAAACCGCTCGCTCTTTTCCGACGCCAAGGACTCCGGTAATTAGCATAATTCGCGATAAAGAAAAAAAGCCAACACTGCCACGAAGCGACGTCGAGAGATGATGCGAATTGCGGAAAAATCGCGGGGAGGCAGAAGCGGAATATGAGGATATAAGAGTGGAAGCTCCGACAGGAGGATTCTCCAAAAACTCATCTGTGCATTCGAAGAGCCGCACATGTCTGAGGATATCTCAATATTTTTCGCCTTTTTTATGTTTGAGAGAAAGACGAGGAAAAAGTGGTCTTCATTAACGTGTATTAATAAAGACCACTTTAGCAGCACAATAAGCATGTAGATATATATATATATATATATATATATATAATAAAACGATAGAGAAAAATAATATATGGCAATAAAAATAATAAAAGCCACGATGAGTATAAATTAATTGAAATAAAATGAGAAAATGTAACGCATAAAAAGGTACGATCCGTATAAGCGGAATTGGGTAATATTCTAGTTCAGTGTACGCGTTCCGAGTCTTATCTAATGGCCACTTTTAGCTGCGCGATAAGTAACGCCTCGTTCATCTCGATAAGTATATACGTGAGCTAGATCGAGATAAAACTGGGTCCCGTTGTGATAAATAGCGGACGCGCTCGATAATAATTTACTTAGTGAATTTCATCGACAAAACCCGACGATATATCGCTGTGCCAAATTTTTTTAATAAAAAAAGTTTTAATAATAAAAATTTTAAAGAGAGAATTTAGAGAAGCAAAATACGTGGTAAATTATTGAATTAACGATTTGTATTTATTAATCGTGAACTTCGATTAATAATATAAAGATTAATGCGTAAAGATGTAAAATCGAACTAAATAAAGAACGAATAAGAAAAAGAGAATAAAGGAGCATTAAAAGAACAGAATCACAAATGGCGATGTTCCGATAAAGAGACAATAATGTGCGGTGGCCCGTGTCAATAATTTCAATTTGCCGGGCGGCGAAAGCTTAACCAAGGGCTCTTGAGAAGGGTGTTACCACCCTCACCTCGGCGATGCATTCGCACCTATGCGGACCATGCAGACGTGATACGAGCGTATCAATTTACGTCATGGCACCTAATTGCTTGTGCAGGTTTCACAGCCGGACTACATTTATAAACAAACGCAACTTACTCAATCTTTTGTTCAGAAAAAATATCTACAAACAATATCTACTTTTAATTATATCTTTAATAATATCTTTTGATAATATTTTGAAAGAGAAAGAAAGAAAGAGAAATGTAAATACAAAATATTACGAAATATTTTTCATAAAATTCTGTGCTTATTTATATTTTAAATAATTTTTGTAAATTCTGATAATTAATTTTAGCTCGTTATCAGAAAACGTGTAAAATGGTAGTTTATTAATGAACTAGCTTTTATATATATATATATGCTGGCAAGATAATTGAATCGATGATTAAAAGACATAATTCTCCAGCTTCATAGCGTCCTAATTTCTATCATCGACTATCCTCTTTAGTTTCACTTTCTTTCTTCCTCGTCGCCATGACTTGCAGCCTTGTCCTTCGGCCCAGGAGAGACTCATTAAGGAATTCCGTGTCGACCTGGGAAATCACTATTATTCTCCGTGGTTCTTATGGCAATCAGTGCATGGCGACATCGCTGTAGGTATCGCGGGACCAAATCTGCGAGCTATTTACAACAAAATTCAAATTCCATTGGGACTTCTTGGTTACGGTTAGTAAAATTATCTATCTTTTGTATCTTTTTTGCGATAGCAAATTTTTATTAATTTTTACTTAAAATTGAAACAATCTATTCACCGATTATTTTAGAATAATTTATCATCTACGTGTGAGATCATCCTCTTAGTTGAATCATCCGATGATCCGTGTTCAATATCTCGAATTCAGACGTGGCTAATTCTATCTGTAATTAATTAATGTAACAGAAAAGTTCTTAGTGCTTTAATTACACATACTATCTATATTTTAATTTATTTTAATTCTGCTAAATTACTCTGCAAATTTTATTTGTAATATTAATAATATTGTAAATTTGATTTGATAATATATTTGATAATATATTAAATTTGATTTTATTAATATAACAGAAATAATAACAGAAATAATAATATCATTTTATATTCTTTCCTGTTCATTTTACATGCATATTAATAGTATATTGAAAAATAATATACATATGTGATAAAATATTTTAGAACACTGTTAACGGTTGTTTAATGCAACAGTTATGCATAAGGACAATGCCATTTAGATGTGTACATTTTCATTTTGAATCGAGGTAACATTCTTATAGCATAACGCTATTTTTCCATAAATATCCATTAACGAAAGAAAGAGATTGTCAAACAAGAATATAAGTAAGGTCTCTTAAGTGCAATTCCAGGAATTCTTACAAAGAGCATACATAACATTACGTAGCGTTCATAACGTACAAGATTTTCTCTCTAAAGTGAATAAAAGAAAATACTGCTTTCAATTTTATTTTATATTCTCATAGTGTAATGAAAATTTATCCATTATTTTCTTAATATTTAAAGCCTTCTCCAAAATTAGAATGCAGAAGAAGGTTGTCTACTAAAATAGATTTATAGGTTTATATAGATTTCTAATGTGAAATTCATTAAAATTCATTCATTGTTTATTTCTGTAAATTCGATGCTCGCGGCTTTTTCTATATCAAAATTATATTCATATCACAGGAAGAAAAGAGAAAAAACTGCACACGTGCGGATTGAATTAATGCGCCGCATGTGGATCTGCCTCTTTAACCTTGACCCTCGTAATAATCGCAAACCCCCTATCAGAAGTGAATCATCCCCGTTGTCCGTGCTGCTTGCCATAAACGTGCTTTTTGTTCTTTGATTTGTGTTGTAAGTACATGCTCGATCTCTCTTACTGTGTTTATTTCAGTAATCGTTTATGACAGTAATCGGCACAGTAATCGCAAATGTGCTATGTGTCATTATAAAACCGACTGAGCACGTAATTATTCAGTCAAACGTGTTACACTTTTAATACATTAAATATAACCAGTGATGAGAAATATAAATAAGTAATTTAAAATGTCAACGTTTAAAATTAATTATCTATGCTTATAAATATATAAACCGGTATATAAAAATAAGCATTTACGTGCAATAAACTGATCGAGCGAAAGAAAAATACAAACGGAATATCGCGATGAATTTTAAGTCCTAGAAATGTCCTGAGATTAAATTGAGACAAATCAACTATTTTTTTGCAGCTGAACTAGTATACTCGGGTTGTACTTAAAATGAGATAGGTATATATTTGAAATTTGACCACAACGAAATAGAAAGTTTTAGTGCGGCCCAGTGCAGAAATAGAAAATAAACCTGAAGGCGAAACGAGACGTGGAAGACCCTCCGTTCTTCTCGTTGAAAATCAAGAAGAATGCGTAATACGCACATGGCATTAACCACCGTGTCGGCATATGGGATTCCCATTCCCTGTTAACCTTGACCCTCGTATATACTGTCGCGATGGTGCCCACCACGCCCCAGCCGGTGAACCATCCCCGTTACTTCCCCGTAAACGCTTTTATCTCGGCTTGCGCGCGGCGCGAGCAACGCGACTGCTATCGCTCAGTCTCCTTTTTTTTTCCTCTCCTCCACGATTATATGGAACTCGCGGGCATCGTGCTGGCTCGTATCGATCTCTTCGCCCGTTGAACATCCGCCGCTGGTGCTCTTTCTTCATCCACCGAGATCACTCGTGCATCGAATATTCAATACGACATCGGATAATACGAGATAATAAATTGAAGACTTGACGCGACAGAGTCTGCTGGTGCCATATTTTGACATTATCTTTCCACCGAAGATTTTCACCACGTGAAAATCGTAGGACATTTCTCTCGAATTTTTTTATCAATCGTCTAAATTTTGTTTATATAAAATTTGAAAATGACGAATGCAAGAAATAATATATAATATTGCAATATATACGTTTATATGTATTATATTCTTTACTTGTATTGTGATACATAGAACTTTTTGTTCAAGTTCCACTTAAAATCAATTTAAATAGAATATTCTAATAGAATACCAATATCTTCAACTTTAACGCGTGCATTCGCAGGCATTTTGCTTACTCATAGAAACGCGGACAGAAACAGCTGCTACGGACGAAGGTCACTAACGCGAAGTATAATTAGTTTCGCTCCTTACAGGCGGAGAGTAGATCCATAGGCTGTGGTCGTTCAAACCAAAGAATTTGCTTTCAAAAAATGCCTTTATACGTGTATAGCCCCAGGCGGCTTATACCTTCATCAGTGGTCCTTTCCTGAACGAATATTTGAAGACTGAATCAACAAACTGCGACATACATATCTGATCTGACAAAACTTTGTTTTAGTAAATTCTCGCCTCGAAATACGCGATTATAGCGATTTGTGCTTTGTTCTCTGCATCAATATCGCATTCTTGCATATTCAAGTTTAAATTCGTATAAAATTGAAATATGAAAAAAAAAGGATGCAGAAGGCTCATTACAACTTCGTCACGAAAATAATGAGTAAATTTCAGTGAATTATTCGTATATAATTCTTTGTTTTAGAAAAATCATTACATATTTTCATGATTACATTAAAATTATTAAAAAGCATTGTAATAATATTTTTGATTATTATTTTGTAAACGAGTTTTCGAAAAACGAAAGAATTTCTATGACTTGATATGTGGATATTTGAACGCTTCGTATTATTTTGTTTTCTCGGAGCCGAAGGACAAGACCAACAATATCATTGGACTACGTAGAATCGTTTGTTTTCACCGTTCGACCATTCGTATCACTTAAGAGACAGAAAGAATTTCTCGACACAGAAAACACGTGTAATATTTATAAGTAATATATGACATTTATACATATATTACTGAATATCTAGTCAAACTCGAAAAAAATTCTGTGAAAATTGCCTAATTTTTGAAACAATTTGTTAAAAATTCTAGATAAAATAAAAATATTTTTAAATGTAATTTTAATGTGTCGTACAAATAAATATAAATTTATTATGCAACATCCTTAATATTTTTTATTCATGAAAGTTTATAAATAATAAAATAAAGAGTCACTCAAGTTTCAATAATTAAAAATTTTTTTGAAAATTTTTGACAAACTATAAAGACCCTAATATTTGATAGTGCATAAAATTTTCAAACTTTATTTTCAAATACTACAAACAAGAAATTATATAATAATTAGTATGAAATTCAATTTTTACAAACAACTATTAAAATAAATATCTGTCTTCACTAAATAGAATAGCACTTAACGCGAAATCGTTGTCTTTATTATTGAATTTATTTAACTTGTATTATAGTTATAAAATAAAAATAATTAATAATATAAAGACAAGATATTAAAAAAAGCAACTTCAAAAAAAATTCCCTGAGAATTTCCTAATTTTTTAAGACACTTCTTAAACAAAGGCAAGGCAATTCTTAAGCAAAGTCTTTAAGAATTCCACATTCTTCCAGATAGTAAATATTCTTTATTACTTATAAATGTTAAATATATTTAATATTTGTAATATATATGGCACTTTTTCTTTCAATAAAGAAAATGATTTTTCTGTTGCCCTAAGGTAGTAAAGCAATGGTCGATGGAACTTTCTGATGCAGAATCGGCAACGTCGAACTCGTAGAAAATCCTGGCCTTCCCTTAAAACGTTCAAGGAAACTCACCGCATCGTAGCGGGGTCGAGAACGAAACGGCGAGAGGGAAGAAGAAAGAAGAGGGAAAAGCGTTTCTACAGGCGTCAGGATGAAGGTACACGTATTCTTTTTAAGCCAGAACACTTTACTGCCGCTCGTTTCGCCGGCGGTAATGGAGGAAGCTTGGCCACCCCCGAAGAATTAATTCGGGGCTAAAGCCGAGGCGAGTCCGCTCACCCCTGCCGATATCGAGTCGCTCGCCCGGAAGTGTTAGTGTCTACTTACCACTCCTTCAGTTAGCTTTTTACTTCAGTTGACCGCATTAGCGCGCGGTCTCTCGTTTCGCCGTTACTGAGGCGATTTCTAATTTAGTCACCAATTTAAGGGTAGTCGGTAGTCACGACCCCCCTGAGAGAATCAGATATTTTCACCTCGACGTGAAGTCATCGCTTCCATGAAATTCTATTTCACGCGAGATATTAATTTTTTATTCGTGCTCTCTTTTTTCGTATCGCGAACGATAATAATTTATTGTTTTACTTGAAATGAAATTATTATTTATTTATCGTCATTATAATTGCGTACACGAAAAGTCTTTCATTATTAGCGGCGAAACGACGATTAAGATAATACATACTAGAAAATGAAAGGCTTATCTTGTTTCATGCACTGCTTATGATATTAATAAAGTGCAACATTATAATTGGTATATGCAACATACGGTGTTTAGATATTCATTAACACCTTAGCGCCAGGACGTTTAATGATTTAAGTGCGTCGATCAATGAAACAACCATGCAAAATCTCATTCGGCAGGATCGGAAAATGCTGACTCATGGCTTTTACGCAAATTTAACAGGCAATAGATTTTAACGTTGCCATCGCTTGTTATTTCACTCCCCATGAACCCCGCGGGGTGCAAGATACCTGCGGTGGTGCATACCTTACGTCAGTCTTCCCCTGTTTAAACCTGAAAATCCCAGAGAACTACCTTTCTTCGTATTTACTGGGGTACTGAAGATTCTTGGCGCTGTTGTGTGATCGCCCCTTTGTACCGTTCGCTTCGTCGAAGCGGCAGACTCCTCTATTCATCCCCCGGTGCGCATCGGCACTACCGTCGTCGGCGTGAGCGAGACGACCGCAAACTCGCAAATCGACGACGGCGCGAGAGAGAGAGAGAGAGAGAGAGAGAGAGAGAGAGAGAGAGAGAGAGAGAGAGAGAGAGAGAGAGAGAGAGAGAGA